AGCTGGGACCACGGGCGCCCGCCACAACACCCGGCCATTTTTTGGTTGCAGCCGTCATTGTTGTTTGGCGGGTCCGGGCCGGGGATTCGAACCCGCCACCTTAGGTATACGTGGCTGGCGCCTTAGCTGGTTGAGCTATAGGCGCTGAGCCTGAATATTGTTCTTTCTTCCAGTGAGTACACTGTGCATCTGGGGAGTGATAAGCTGGGCGACAGAAAGTCCCAGAAGATCAAGGCTTCAAGGTCATTCCGTCACCCTGGTTACTCCACACAGACTAACGTTAATGACCTCATGCTTGTGAAGCTAAATAGCCGGGCCAGACTGTCATCAAATGTGAAAAAAGTCACCCTGCCCTCCCACTGTGAGCCCCCTGGGACTATGTGCACTGTCTCTGGCTGGGGCACTACCACAAGCCCTGAGGGTAAGCTGTTCCAGTGACCCAGCAGACCAGGCCCCCAGCCTCTCGGGTGCACAGGCACCATCCTGGGTGCCAGCACCCAGGAGTCCCAGACCCCAGCCTATGGCTGACAGCTGTCCCCTCTCCTCCCTGCAGTGACTTTTCCCTCCAAGCTCATGTGCACAGATGTCAAGCTCATCTCCTCCAATGAGTGCAAGAAGGTTTACAAGGACCTGCTGGGCAGTTCCATGCTGTGTGCCGGCATCCCTAACTCCAAGACCAACGCCTGCAATGTGAGACACCCCCCTCCCAGCCCTGACTGTCCTGTCTTCTTGCTCTGATCTCAGAGCCTAACCCAGTGACCAGGCATCCTTGCCATCCCCTGGGCCTGGCCACCTCAGCTTTCTTTAGTTTGTCCCCTGCCTGAGGCAGTAGCAGGAGTTTGTCCAGGGGCTGGTGTGGCCCTGGGGATGGACAGTAAGTTGAGTGGGAATAGGACCAGGGGAAGCAAGGGAGGGCCTGGCCTCAGACCCCTCAAAACTTTAAGCAGATACCAAAAAACTCCAGAATTGAAATAAATTATATTTTAGTGCAATACTTACAAAATAAAAGTAAAAATTCATGCAAAATGTCCACAACAAATGAAATCGCACAATTTTAAATGAAGTATAATGTCTCTTACTGAATTATCCTTTTGCTTCATGCACCAGCGTGGCTTAGCCCTGCACTGCCCTGACATTGTCTTGATTTAAAATTTGGATACACTGTCCATCATGAGTTGTTTTTTGTTGATGTCATTTTTTGTTTTGTTTTTTGTGGTATTACATTTGATTTTTGTGAAGTACTGCCTTGAAATATTGATTGCAATTATGGAGATTTTGTGCCCAAAGTTAATGCCCCTGGCCCTGGTCCTGGAGAAAGTACTCTTTCTCTCTCTCTCTCTCCCCCTCTTTGTTCCCTCTGCCTTTTGTCATCCACCTCTATTTCTGAGCAAAGTCTTCCCACATCTCCCTTTATGCCTAACTTCATGTGACACTTATTATCTTTGTTCTTTCTTTGCATTGGGCTGGCTGACTTCTCTCTCACTCTCTCCCCCCATACCCATCCTCAGCAATCAGGGGAGGTAGGATGGTGTGAGGTAGGGATAGAAGTGATGGGAGAGGGATGCTCCTCCTAGAGAAATTGGGGGGTGGGGGGTTGATTCCTCTTTCTGCTCTCATGAGGGCAGTTTCCTGAATGGCAAGTGCTGCAGTGACACAGAGCTCAGAAGGGCCCATGCTTGGTTGAAATTCTGTTGGCATCTTGAAATTCTTCCTTTTTCTTTTCTTTTTTCCCTCTCTCCCTTACAGACTTCTTTCTTCCCTTCCTTCCTTCCTTCTTTTTTTCTGAGATAGAGTCTTTCTGGTCTTGGAACTCCTGATCTCAAGCAATCCTCTGGCCTCAGACTTAGCTGGGATTACAGCTGTGTGACAATGCCCCCAGCAGTCTTGAAATCCTTAATAATTTTTGAGCAAAGATCCCTGAATTTTCATTTTGCACTGGGCCCTTTAAATGATACATTTGGTAATTGGTCCTACCCCTGGTTTCCAAGGCTGTGGAGTCCTACTTTCCTGCAGGGAGGGGGTTATACACCCATCTCTGGGGGACAACTTTCCTTCTTCTACTAGTTTGGAGCAATCAATGTCTTTAGCACTGGAAGGAAAATCAGCGCTCTGATTCTGGAAGCCCCACCCCTTGTCTGGGATTGGTCCCATTGGCCAGAGCTCAACCCTCTGTCTTCAAAGGACCTGGTTTGTCCCTTGTATGAGAGCACTAATTCCTGCTCTACTATTGGTTCCCAGGGACAATGAGTCTCTTCTCACCGGCTGGGATGAAAATCTATGGTCTGACAGGAGAAAGACTGAGGAATGGATGAGACTGAGATGGGCCCAGGGGCTTTGTTCTGAAGCCAAAGATAATTTTCTGCTCTGTTCCCTCCAGGGTGACTCAGGGGGACCGTTAGTATGCAAAGGCACCCTGCAAGGTCTGGTGTCCTGGGGATCTTTCCCATGTGGCCAACCCAATGACCCAGGTGTCTACACTCAAGTCTGCAAGTTCAGCGACTGGATAAATGAGACCATGAGAAGGAATCGCTAACACACCACCAAGAGTTAAATAATCATGGACCTTAAACAGAAAATCCATGGAAAAAAGGATATCGATGACCTATAAAGTCATATTTGGCACTACCTTTCCTCAAATTCATATTAAAACCTCAACCTGTTTGTAAACCAATGAAATTAGTAAGGGCCCAAAACCAAAACAAATAAAGAAACACAAAAACCTCAGTGCTAATGAAGATGCAGTGAGACCAACACTCTCAAATACTGGGACTGGAAATTCATACAATCTCTATGGACGCAGAATGGCCGCATGAATTGAAACCCTTATTCATCACCTTTAGCACAGTAACTAGTCCTAGGAAGACCTGACTTAAAAAAAAACAGAGCAAAAAACTCCAAAATGTGGAGCAAGGATTTACCACAAGGGTATTTATCATAGTGATAAAATTGGAAACAATGAACATGTTTTAAAGTATTTGATCATTTAAATAATAGACCAGTTTGGCAAAGGGATATTATGAAGCTATTAAAAATAAAATAACACTTAGGCAGAACAGTTAGTGTTATGCAAGAATGTTTAGGCTATAATGATGTTAAGTGACAAAAGAAGACACAAAACTATGTATGTGATCCTACCTATGTAACATGGAATTTCCACAGAATAAGATCTGAAAGTCCATGTTCCAGGTTGTACACAGGGTAGTAACCAAGTTTCTCTTTCCTCCCATGTACTTTTCTGTAGATGTGGATTTTTATAACCTAGAAAAAAAGTGGAAAAGCTTAAAAAGCTAAGGTCAGAGTGGGGAGACCCTTCAGGGAGGGAAACTAGAAAGGAAAATGTGCATGGTTTTGACCTGGTCTTGCCTCCCAGGTCTCAGTTTTCCTCATCTGTAAAATGGGAGGAGAAAAAGAGAGAGGGAAGATGGGAGGGAGTTGGGAGGAGACAATATGCCTATTTCATCAGGGTATATAGAAGTGTGAAAGTGTTTCCACACATCTGACAGGTGACAAATAAGGAGAGAGGGAGGATTTCAGAGGGATGTGGACTTCCAATAGACAAAATACCAGGGTCCCAAAAGGGCCTGCCAAAAGTTAGCAACCAATGTTTTGGGTGCCAGAGGAAGGTGGCTGCTGGAAACCTGGGAAAGGTGGGCTCTTGCTCCCAAAGAAGGCAGAAACAGGGCCTCTGGGAGGGAAAAGAGATGAGGGAAGAGTCCTCTGTGACACAGAGTCAAAACACATAGCCCTGGCCACCTGTCATCAGAAATTTTCTGGGCAGTCACACCTCAGGTGCTGCTGACAGAGGGATTCCACTCCAGCCTGGGCTGCCCCTCCTACCTGTCTTTCCTGTTTCTCTCCCAGGAAACACCAACATCCTCGGATTCTTCTCCTCCTTATCTCATCTCTGAATCTCTCTCCTAACCCAATTTACATCCCTGTGATTTTGCAGAAGTTCTGCAGCCACTGATTCTGATTCTCTGCACACAGGGTGTTAACACAAAAAATGGCAATCCAGGTCCCCTGTCCCTCTTCCCTCAGACTAGGTTACCTGACTCCCAGCCAAATCTCTGGACCTGCGTCAAGTTTAAAGAACATCAAGGATTTTTTAGCTATCCATCCCCAAGAGGCTCCATGAACTTTCCCTCTCTCTCCTACAAGCCATACTTAATCAATATTTAATCTAAAACTTAAAAAATATCAAAACATTTCATTTGTGGGCCTGGAGGTCCCCGGCCCTGCCTCTCTGCTCCTCCTACACACAAGCAAAAGGTGGACTGGTTTGCAATGCCTGAGAGAGATGGTCCTCATGTTGAATTTTTAAAAACTTACTTCATTTTTCTTTTGCAGATAGTGCAGCATAGTTGTTAATGCAATAGCTCGGAAATCTGGTTTCTTGGGTTCAAATCCCAATTCCGGCCCCTACAAGCTATTTGCCTTTGAGCCGATTACTTCCCCTATCCCTGTTCCTGCATTCTTAAAATGGGAGAAAGTGCATCTACTTCATTATTATGAAGATTAAATGAGTTACTATACGGAATGTACTCAAATATTGTCTGACATAGCATAAGCCTCCAATGGGTGTTGGTTTTTATCATGAATGACTTCTAGTACTTTTTCCTGCCTACAGTCTCATGAAGTTTCCTTATAAAACAATTTCTTCACAGAATACTTTTGATGAGCAAGTCAATTTGGTAGAGGCTTCATTCTCTCTCTACGGCCTACCACCTCCCTTCTTTCCCCACATGGCTTTCAACAATTCCTACCAAGTTCAGCCCCCCCAATATTGTCATAAGGCAGACCCAGTGGCATCATCAAGAGATAGGTTACAACAATTGCTGTGTTTGAAATCGAGTTCCAATTCAGGTTCCACCATTTCCTACATGTTTGATGTTGAGCAATTAACTCCTCCACTCTGAGCCTTAGTTTTCTTATCTGTAAAATGGGAGTGGATATAATGAAGTCATTTAGTCAATTAGTCAACATTTCCTAAGACATGAATGGGAAACATTTTCACGTTAGAAAGGCACATTAATTTAGCTGCAATCAAATAAGGTCACATTCAAGAAACTTCAATTAGATATACAGTGGAACTTCCTAGTTGACCACCTATCTACACTGACCACTTTAGGTTGACCTAATTGTCATAGACTAGACATGCATCACATGTATGTGTCAGTACAGAGGCCTATTTCCTTATGTTGACCACCTCTGTATGTTAACCAGTTTGTTACAGTCCCTTGGGTGATCAACTTACAGAGGTTCTACTATTCTTAAAAATGTACATTATTTTGTTAAAAAAAAAACTTATTACTATGTACTTAATAATTTCAAAAAAGGAAAACCATTTGTTAATTTTAACTAACTTTTTTTTTAGAGACTTTATCACCCTCGGTAGAGTGCTGTAGCATCACAGCTCACAGCAACCTCCAACTCCTGGGCTTAGGCGATTCTCCTGCCTCCGCCTCCTGAGTAGGTGGGACTACAGGCGCCTGCCACAACGTCGGCTATTTTTTGTTGCAGTTTGGCCAGGGCCGGGTTTGAACCTGCCACTCTCAGTATGTGGGGCCGGCACCCTACCCACTGAGCCACAGGCACTGCCCAATTTTAATTAACCTTTTAATCATTTTATTGTGGCTGCTTTTTGTTGGAAATCATTGGAATGTTTGGTTGCAGGATAGAGGTATACAGTTTCAGTTGATCCTTTAGGTGGGTATCAGTCATTGGTGACCTTAAGGGCACCTTGATTTGGCTTACGTAGGAGAACATAGATTTGAAGCCAAAAGTGGTTGCAAAGCATGAAAGCAGTTCTCAGGCATGCTGCCAAAGGCATGGGTATCATATTGCAGTTTTTGCATATTTCAATTGGATCTTTCTTGGCATCAAATAAAACCTTTAAAATATCATCTATTGAGAGCTCAATCAATTCCATCCATTGTTCCTTAGGTGCATTGGTGATATTTATTGGGTGAGGCTGAAATGCTAATTTGAGTGTGATGTCATGATTCTCAAAGCCAGTGAAACTTTCACTGTATTCTCCAATTAGCAGGTCTATAATAGCTGTGTATTCTTCAAATGATTCACATATGTCATCCTGTTCTCCAATAAGCAGGATGAGGAAAATGTCCTTTTTAAAGAAATAAGTGTTTTGAAAACAGATTGCTTTTTTTTTTCTTGCTATATATCATATACTATAGAGACTTAGTTTTATCTCACAAAGAGATATTCAAGTCATTTTGATGTGACATGCTAGCACAAAGAAATGCTGCATTCCTACAGAAATCTTCTTTCACTAATTCACATTGCTGATTCAGTTCTTCATAAAATTTAACTATTTGCTCTCACAGAGACAAAATGTTGGCTAATACCTGTCCCTGCAATAGCTAATACACTTTAGAATGATACAGCAAAACCACCTTGACTACCTCGTCATTCAACTTTAGCATGTTATGAGGCTGATGGTGCTGTGTTGCACTTGCATGGATATAGTTAAAAATGCTTATAATGTGTTGCAACACGCCACTTAAAATAGTAGCTTTAGCACAGAGATTTTACTGATGCAAGATACAATGAAAAGAAATGAGAGCATCTGGATCTGTTCATACTTATTTATCTGTAAATCAAACCTTTCGTGTTTTCCTGTCATGGAAGGTACACCATCTGTACGTATATTTATTAAATCCACCAAATTCAGTCTCACTTCATGACATTCACCTTGAAACTGGTTGAAGAATCGATTTCCTGTGTTCTGTTTGCAAGAGGGCCCAAAGTGAGTAACTTTTCCTAGCAAAGAAAATCTTCTTTTTTAATACCAATGAAGTATAAAACCTATGTCAAGTCCTTAGCATCAGTTGATTCATCCAAAGTAATTGAATAATATACATTTTCCTTTTGAAATATTGTCTGAAGTTGTTCTGTTAAGTTGAAGGCTAATTAATGCTGCCAATCAGTTATAGTTCTCCTTGAAAATGGCAGTTGTTTGCACTTTGAAACATTATTGGGTCTAAACACCCTACAACTTCTTTTTTTCACAATTTCTATATCAATGCATGGCTTCCCTTTTTTCCCAAGTATATAAGCTACCTTATAAGTTGCTTCAATGGCATTATTTCCAGGTCTTTTTTTCTTTTTTTTTGAGACAGAGTCTCACTTTGTTGCCCCCGGTAGAGTGCTGAGGCATCACAGCTCACAGCAACCCCAAACTCTCGGGCTCAAGGGATTCTCCTGTCTCAACCTCCCAAGTAACTAGGACTACAGGCTATTTTTAGAGACAGAGTCTCACTCTAGCTCGGGCTGGTCTCAAACCTGTGAGCTCTAGCAATTCACCTGCCTTGGCCTCCCAGAACGCTAAGATTATAGGCATGAGCCACCACACCCAGCCTTCTTTCCAGGTCTTACTGCTGCTTAAAAGAATTGTCTTTGCTTTTTCTTTTCATCTCTTAATTTCTGCAATACAACCTTTTATTTTTCTCCCTCTGATTCAAAATATTTATAGTCCTTATGAGTGTTATAATGCTGATGAGTATTAAATTTCAT